ATCCAAATTTTGAAGTCAAGGTACCTTTAAAATATACGTATTGGTTTAATTCAACATCTTTTTCAATCAAATTTTTTTTGCAATTAAAAATCCCAAAGACAACACAATCCAGATTGTCTGTGTAATATTCATCTTTACGTGGCTTTTTAAATATTAATTTATCTTTTTTTGTCTCTTTCAAGCCTACGTATTTTGAATCTATTGCTTTAAACTGCAGTATTCTAAGACTGAAACGGCGCTGTGGCTGCTGGCTCCGCCCATTTCAGCTTACCAGCATGGCGTTTTCCGCCAGTTCTGTGAATCATCAAGTCTCAGAAATAGTGGGTCTAAGCTTTTATGTAGCCCAGAAACCATTTTTTTTTTAATACTAGTAAAGACTAAATCTACCACACAGCGTAATGTGCCGCCGGCAGACACCTCATTACTGTCATACTGGTGGTCAAACGCAAACGCCAGGAACCTGCCAGTTCAAACCCGAGTTTTGTGGTGTCTAGCTGCCCTTATGAGACATGAAGCAGGAACCTGGTTTGGGCTCTGTTTAGAATTGGTTATTAAATATTCTCAGGTTTAAGGTGGAAACTCGAGCCGTTGGGTGCCATTTGTTGCTGGAGAGCTTCTCTCCAGGTTCCACCAAGCCCCACAGTCCCACAATCCATGTATAAAATAATCACTCAGATGCTTATATTACTTATAAACTGTATGGCCATGGCAGGCTTCTTGCTAACTGTTCTTATATCTTAAATTAACCCATTTCTATAAATCTATACCTTGTCACATGGCTGGTGGCTTACTGGCGTCTTTACATGTTGCTTGTCCTGGCTGTGGCTGCAGTGTCTCTCTCCCCTTCTTCCTGTTTCCCCAATTCTATTCTCTCCTTGTCCCACCTATACTTCCTGTCTGGTCACTGGCTATCAGTGTTTTATTTATATAGAACAATATCCACAACAATTTATAATAAATGGCTTTGCCTTTTGACAGACCCTTGGCCAATCAAAGTTCACCTTTAATACACAGCTGAATCTCTATGATATATTCTTGTGGCCCACAAGAGCTGCTAAACTCCTTATTAGGGAGTCAAAAAGCTAACCTTTGGGTCACCTACTACTGTCCTCTCTCACCATGACCTGTCCCATCTCCTAACTTATAAAGGCTTACAAACTTTACCTCCCTCTAGGGTTCTTTCTTTCCAGGTGGCACTACTGGAAGATGCCACACTTACTTTCAAAACTTGTTCACCTCTTAATATATCAACTCTCCTCCCTCAACCTAACACCGATTATTCCCCCTCTCAATTCTGCACTGAAATCTTAGAGGAACTGTTGCCACACCCTTCACACATGCAGGAGGGCACATTGCCCCAGGCCACTCATACCTGGGACACAGATGGCAGCTCCTTCTTACATGAAGGGACCGGTAAAGCGGGCTATGCCATAGTGTCAGACACTGAGGTGATAGAGGCACAGGCATTACTCACACACACCACTAGCCAACAGGCTGAGCTGATAGCTCTCACCCGTGCCTTCCAGTTGGCACAGGGGCAATCCCTAAATGTTTACACAGATTCCTAATATGCTTTCCATATCCTCCTGTTCCATGCTGCTATCTGGAAAGAGCGTGGGCTCCTTACAACAAAGTGAGGATCCATATCTAATTCAGGCCAAATAATGGCCATGCTAAAAGCTCCCCACCTTCCCAAGGCTATAGGAATTATCCACTGCCGGTCTCATCAGACTGACAGCTCCATCGTCCTCAAGGGAAATAACCAGGTTGACCAGGCAGCAAGGACAGCGGCCCTTCAGGGCCAAGACTCATCCTACCCACTACAGGGAATCCATACAGTGCAGCTCACATCCTCACAGGCAACCCCTGACACTAGGCAAATTCTGTCCTATCTACACCAGCTCTTTCACCCTAATAGTCTTGCTCTGTCTCAGTTCATGAAGGCTCACTTGCAGCCCACCTCTGAGGACTTTCAGTTTTTAAGAACTATTACTGCCTCTTGTGAAATTTGCCAAAAGACAGACCCCAATATGAAATATAGAAGTCAGCCTTTCCCCACCCACCAGGCCAGAGGTTTCCTTCCAGGGACCGACTGGCAGCTCAATTTTACCCATATGCCCATGTTGCTAGAGTTTTCCTGCCTTGCCCACAGTCAGGACAAATCTCTGTC